TGAAATACTTTCGAAAGTTCGAACGAAACGAAAGTTCTTCGATTCAAATTATCGAAATTATTCAAATACGTTCTATATATATATATATATATATATATATATAGAGGTCTTCTTCGAATTGACGAAATTAATAATTTTTTTTATGTTTTTTTTTCCCCCTTTCTTCTTCCGGAGATGTGTTTTACGTTTTCATTTTATGCATTTCGATGTCGATTTTATGTTTCTTCTTTCTTTCTTTTTTTTTTTTTTTTTTTTTTTTTTTTGGAGTTCAAAATTAACATTGACGAGAGGTGGCTAACGTTAAAGTAGACTGCGACATTTTTGTTTTTATGTTTTTTTTTCTCTTTTTTTTTCTTTTATCCAATCGAAAATTTGGACGCTCAATTAAAATCAACTCGATTCCTTTTCCTTTTTCTTTTTTTTTTTTTTTGTTTTTACGTTCTTATATTCAATGACGTTACGTTATTTCTTTTTAACAATGTTCTGTTTTAACGTTAACCACGAGAACTCTTTATTCGATTTAACAATTTTGAGTTTTCAATTCTCCTTTTTTATCAACGAGAGAGATCCGTGAAAAGGTATGCGATAAATTTCGAATCGATCGAAGAAAGACTCATTGACTCACGAGCAAGAGCGTAGCGAATGATTTTTCACACAAAAAAAAAAAAAAAAAAAAGAAAAAAAAGAAAAAAAACTGCAAAGGATTTATATAAATAATATATATATATATACATATATATATAAAATTCTGTATTTTTGCAAAAAAAAAAAAAAGAAAAATGAAAAATTCCACTCAATGTGATTTTTGAGAAGGTGTCGAGGTGAATTCGACAAAATTTGTTTCCATTTAGTCGCAATGAGATAGGAATATTTTTCTTGGAAAGGGAGAAAGACTGGAGAGTATACGAGAGAACCGAAGAATTCTGTCCTGAATTACAGATCATTCCTCCCAATCGATATCTCGAAATGTATGTACATTTTCATAGCGTAGGACATCGCCATGACTTTGCAGCGGTAACCGCATAAATATCTGCAACGATTCCATAGATTTTATATTTTTAACGATGCAATTCGCAGACGGAAGAGGGCGATCAATTCCATCGTTATTATACAAAAAAAAAAAAAGATAAAAATCTATCGAATCGTACGCGTTATTATACTCGTTACCATTACTGCGTAATATCAATGACCTGGGTTAACTTCTTAATCGATTATTGGGACGGACGTATGTGATATATAATATAGGATAGGGCCAACAATTCTTGGTCCTCCTCTTACGTTTATTTGATTCTTACATATGTAAAAAGAGATGTATGTCCATGATTAATATTGTAAACAATTTATGCGTATGCGTTACATCACCATGTAAAGGGGTTTGTGAATGTTGGGTTTGTTTGTTATTATATAGGGCTGGTTAATAATTGTTCCACAATACATTGCATTGAATGATTTCCATTACTTGTGTTTTTTTATTCCCGGTCATTCGTTCACTTCTTTCTTTTCTTTTTTTATTCTTCTTCTTTTTTTTTTTTTTTTTTTAAA